AGCATGAGTATACAAAACTAGCCTATGTAAAAAGTAGAAAGCCAGAAGCATCACACTGCCAGACTTCAAAATTTGCTAGAATGCTACAGTAACTAAAACAGCATGGTACTGGTACAAAAATAAACACATAGGCCAATGTAATGGAATTGAGAACCCAGAAATAAAACTACTGTCATACAACATACAACCATCTTGTCTCTTACAAGTTAAAAAAAAACAAACACTGGGGAAAGGACACCTTGTTTAACAAATGATGCTGGGGAAAGTGGCTCATCATGAGAGAAGAAGGAAGGTGGATCCTTTCCTCTCACCATATACAAAAATTAACTTAAGATACATTAATGACCTAAAAATAAGTTCTCAAACTATAACAATCCTAGAAGAAAGCCTAGAAACACTCTTCTGAACATCAGCCTAGACAATGAATTCACGACCAAGACCTCACGAGCAAAACAACAAAAGCCAAAATTGACAAGTGGGACCTAATCAAATACAAAGAACTTTTGCATAGCAGATGAAGCCATCAACTGAGTTAATAGACAGCCTAGAGAATGGGAGAAAATATTTGCAACCTGTACATTCAACAGAGGACTTATACCCAGAAGCATCAAAGAACGCAAACAAATTGACAGGAAAAAAATAATAATCCCATTTAAAGTGGATGAAGAACATGAACAGACATTTCTCGAAGGAAGTCATACAAGCAGCCAACAAACATGAAAAAATGTTCAACATCACTAATCAGAGAAATGCAAATTAAAACCACAGATACCATCTCACGACAGTCAGAATGACTGTTAATAAAAAGTAAAAAAACACATGGTTTTTGGTGTGGTTGCAGAGAAAAGGGAACATTTGTATACTGATGGTGAGAATGAGAATGTAAACTAGTCAACTTCTGTGGACAGCAGTTGGGAAATTTCTGAAAGAACTAAAAATAGATTTACCATTTGACCCAGCAATCCCACTACGGGATATATACCCAAAGGAGCATAAATCACTCTACCAAAAAGGCACCTGTATTTATATGTCTACCTCAGCATTATCTACAGTAGTTAAAAACATGGGACCACCTAGGCACCCAGCAACAGTGAACTGGATGAAGAAAATATGGTACATATACACTATGGATAATATGCAGCCATACAAAAGAACAAAATCATGCCTTTTGCAGCAACATGGCTGCAGCTGTAGACCATCCTAAGTGAATTGTCACAGAAACAGAAAACTAAATACCACATGTTCTATTCATAAATGAGAGCTGAGTGCATACAGGCATAAAGATAAGAATAGTAGACACTGAGGACTCTTAAAGAGGGGAGGAAGAGAAGGGAAAAAGAATTGGAAAATTACCCACTGGGTATCCTGCCTACCACCTAGGTGATGAGCTCAATAGAAGCCCAAACATCACCATCACACAATATACCTATGTAATAAACTTATGTACACACCCCTTGAACCTAAATAAATAAATAAAATAGTTTTTAAAAGTTTAAATCAATCAAATTTTTATGTAGATGTTCATTTTTTTCCCCCTGATATTAGGAACATATGAAATGAAGTCTGAGGGAAAACTTCAAAACTATGTAATGGGCCATGTATTTTGTTCTTTGTAAGGAACCTGAGAACCAGAGAAATTAAATTATTTACTTAAGTTTAGATCGCAAATACAATGGCAAAGTCAGACTGAAAGCCCAACTAATTTTGTGCAGTGTTATTGAGATATCCTATAGTGGTAAAGATGTGGCTTTTGGATTGGATTATCGATTCATATCCTGGCTGTGCCCCTGTTGGCAACCTTTCTGCCAGAAAGGTCGATGTACTCTAAATTGATACTTTCTCTTCTAGCAGCTATTTATATTAAATAGATTTCATTAACTTGGAACATTTAGCCCCCTTGGAGTTGTGGCCATACTATTTTATTCATTTTTGGAGAACTTACCATAGAATTGTCATTTCAGTCACAGTCAGCTGACTAACTAGACAACTTTTACAATTACATTTTATATATTGCAAATAAGAGTCTCTTACAAACCTTGGGATAAAACTATTAAAAAATTACATTCTTGGCCAGGCATGATAGTTAATGCCTGTAATCCAGGCACTTAGGGAGGCCCAGGTGGGAGGATTGTTTGAGCCCAGGAGTTCAAGACCAGCCTGAGCAACAGCGAGACTTCTTCTCTACAAAAATAAAAGTATTAGCCCGGCATGGTGGTGCATGCTTGTAGTCCTAGCTACCTGAGATTCAGAGGTGGAATGATCGTCTGCTCTTAGGGGATTGAAGCTTGCAATGAGCCATGATTTTGCCACTGCACTCCAGCCTGGGTGATAGAGTGAGACCCTGACTTAAAAAAGAAAAAAAAAAAGGCATTCTTAATTATTTTTAGAACTCCAAGCAAATAAAATTTGTTGGTGCTAAATACCTATTCTGATTTATGTGTCCCTTCTGAATCACTTGTTTCATTTGTTCAGTAAATATTTCTGGGTCACTGAATTCTGTTGACATAGGTTACCCCGTAAGTTTTATGTAACACAGCTTTTACCTTGCTTCAAGGCTCTACTTTCCTCTTCTCCCTCAAGTTTAAACCCAGTTTTAACTGACTTAAAGTATGTGCGTGGAAACGTGCATGTGTGTGTACATGTGGGTTTTTTCATTTGGGTTTTTTCTGTATTCTTGTAGACAAGAATATGCTGTCTTGAGCAGGGTTGGTCAGTGGTTTCATTTATATAAATAAATGTTTGTTCATCCATTTGTTTGTTTGAGAGGTATGTCCCAAAGTACACATGCATAAAAAGATTACAGATTTAAATAATTTAGTAATGCATTAGTTAGATTAAGGATGAGGCTAATACTATTGATTGTTGATGGTAATTTGAAAATACATGTTGACTTCAAGGATTTATTGGTGCATAAAAACTGAGAATACTGAGTTTGATCCATAGAATGGATCTGGGAACTGTAACATTAGGAATATCATTTTATTCTGTTTGCCCTTTTTTTTCTGACAAACTTTCCATAAGAAAGACCATGATGTTAATCAACAGATTTCTCTAATCAGTTTAGCTATCCCAGGATTGGGGGTGAAGTTCCATTTTTCCTAATAGCTTCAACCAAAGCGATTAGCTTCAATTAATTTAGGATCAACTCTCTGGCTTAGCTAGGTAAATATGAGGGGAGACCCCAAAACCCCCACAATTTGTATGTAAAAAATTGTGTATTTATTCTTATATGTTTAAATTTCAGTCACCTTTAGAGTGCTCTCTGTTTGGTGCAATACATCTATCGAGACATGTTTACCACTGCTGAAAACAGTTTTAGGACTCGTCAGCTTTGATGCCTTTTAGTGCTTCTGCCATTTTTTATTTCACCTCTTCCACATCTGTGAAACATTTCCCTCCGGGGATATAACATAAAACCTTCCTAAATAACCTTCTTTGAATAATATTAATAATTTTTAAAATAGAAGCTAACTCAGCAATCATGTAACCAGACACTGTTTTAAGCACTTTACATACACCAACTCAATCCTTATAAAAACTCTGTATGGTTAATACGCTACTCTTGATATTTCCATTTTATAGAAGAGAAAACAGGTAACTTGCTTTAAGGTTACACAGCAGAAGTGCTAACTGGGGGAACTGGGATTTAATCTCATCAGTTTGGCTCCAGAGTCTTGTGCTTTTAACCTTTACAATACTAGACTGCCTCTCAACTCTGCATTATCTCAACAAGTCCAGGAAATCTTGCTTCACCATTACCATCCGCCTCATTATTTTTTAAATGACTTTCCTCAAAATCTTTCCATCAAATAGCTATTTTAAAAGAGAATTTTCTATCTTTATACTGTAGCTTCATGGATATCCAGCACGCTAGACACACTTTCAGAAGACTGCTTAGTCTGTGTTGGCAGGGTATAACTTCCCTATTGAATCAAAGTTTGACAAACTACCCACAAATACACATCTGGGAACCTTTTAAATATCTTAATGCTCTGTCTGCACCCTAGACCAATTAATCAGAATTTCTGGGGATAGCACGTAGGCCTTTGTAACTTTTTTTTTTAAGTTTTTCAAAACCATGCCAACAAGAACTAAGAGAACAGGTAGAGTTGGTGGAGCCAGGTTTCAACAAAAGGGGTTTCAGGTGATAGATGCGTTCACATGGGAGAAGCAAAATCCAATAGAGAGTACAGCGGGACCTCACAGAAAGCCAGGGAGGAAGACTTCCAGCCCAGGTGAACCTTTTAAAAGAAGCCTGTAACTCTGAGTTTCAGAAGTACACTCAGAATCTTAAGAATCTAAATCAGTCCTTGCCAACTTCAGTGGATGTTTGTCTAGAGCAATAGTTTCGGAGTGTTACTCACCAATGGATCCCCCATCAATTAGTCAGAAGTGAGGACAAAGGCTTCAAAGGCCCACATGTAGGGTCCTGAGTGAGAGGTCTAGGGGTCCAGTGATGAATCTGATTTTGACTGACTGCACCATAACAGTTAAAGAAAAAGTTATTCACTGATAACTTGTTAAAGAATGATACAGCTGACTTTATTCAGGATGATTTTGATAGGTATTGGGACCATGGCAATGGGAGTTTGGAGCAGGGGCAAATACAAATACAGCATGGGTTAGGTAGAAATTTATAGCCAAGGAACAGAGTGGGGTCAGTGGATGACAGATTACTAAGAGGTAACATCAGGTATAAGGGTATTCTGGCTAAAACATCCAAACAGAATCCTTGCTGAAGACAGGCCAGAGAGGTCCGACATCACCTGGGGGATGGGACCTGATCAAATATTAAAGGTGGTCAAATACTAAGGATAGGGGAGTTTTTGCTAAAGTGACTTTTCAGGGTTCTTGCAAAAACTGAATTTTACGAGGAAATGCACTGGAAGGCTTACAAGTAGATCAGGAGACTGACTAAAGTTTGGTCAAGAATCTTTGTTAGTAGACATGAACTTTGTGATGCTTAACTTTTTCTTTTTATGTTGTTTTGTTTTAAACAGGCTAATAGCTCGTCAACTTGCTAAAATCCATGCAATCCATGCACACAATGGTTGGATTCCAAAATCTAATCTGTGGCTAAAGATGGGAAAATATTTCTCTCTCATTCCCACAGGATTTGCAGATGAAGACCTTAACAAAAGGTAAAATTGCTTTTACATTTGAAATTATGTTTTGCATTGCATTGCTCTATAATAGGGTTTCAAAGGTAGCTACAAGATTTCTGTGTATAAAATCTGATTTTATCTCTGCATTGAAATATATATTAATTCTTTGACTCTCAGATAGCACTGCAGAAATAACTGCCTCTCTATCCCCCTCAGTGCCCTTTGCCCAAAAAATACCCTAAAAACAGCAAAACTCAATAGAAGTAGGGGACGAAACAGATATAGACCATTACTTGGAAATAATGGTAATATAAGGTCACTATGAATGGATACATTTTTGCATATTATGAGTTGGCCATAGAGAGGTTTTTATAAAAAAAAAAAAACCTCTTTTTGTTCAAGGCCTAGTGATCAACATTGGGATAGTGTAATACCAGAGTGTGGAAAGTTTGGGTTATTTTTACTGTGACTATTTAAATCTCAGATAATGAGGTTGAAAATTCTCTTATTGGAGTCTTACCCAGTTTTTGTAAGACTGACTCTTCAGTTTCAAACTGACTAAGATATTTCATTATTTTCTGTACAAAAAATGTATAGATCAGCATTTAAAATCTAAATTATATGAACATATTTTATATAATGTGATTATTATTAATACAAAAATTGGAAATAATATTTTGTTGTTTTTATCTAAAACATGTGCAGACTACATATTTGTATTTAGAAGTCTTTGTTTCAAGAACAATAGAGGCAAAACAGGACCTATAGATTTTTTTCTTCTTTTTATTTTAAAATATTCATTAGGGAAAAAATAGCTATAGTTTGATTATTTCAAAGATTAATTTCATTCATTTTGTGTATGTATTTGGGTAGCTTGTTAAACTTTCATTCAATAGTGATGTTATACCCTCCCAACACAGACTAGGCAGTCTTCTGAAAGTGTGTCTAGCGTGCTGGATATTTTTGAAGCTACAGTATAAAGATAGATAATTCTCTTTTGAAATAGCTATTTGATTGAAAGATTTGGGGAAAAAGCCGTTTAAAAATAATGAGGCAAATGGTAGTGGTGAAGCAAGATTTCCTGGTCTTTTAAGATAATGAAGAGTTGAGAGGCAGTCTGGTATTGTATAGTTTGTCTCTGGAGCCAAACTGATGAGATTAAATCCCAGTTCCCCCAGTTAACATTTCTGCTGTGCAACTTTCTATAAAATGGAAATAGCAAGAGTAGTGTATTAACTGGACTCAGTGGCTCAGCCTGTAATCCCAGCAATTTGGGAGGCTGAGGAGAGTGGATTGCCTGAGCCCGCAGGTTTGAGACCCACCCGCGCAACTTGGCGAAACCTCATCTCTACAATAAATCAAAAATTAGTTGGGTTTGGTAGCAGGCACCTGTAGTTCCAAGTACTTGGAAGGCTGAGGTGGAAGAATTGCTGGAGCCCAGCAGGCCGAGACTGCTGTGGCCGGTAGTGTGCTACTGCACTCCAGTCTGGGCAACAGAGTGAGACTCCAACTCCAAAAAAAAAAAAAAGAGTAGTGTATTAACCGTACAGAGTTTTTATGAGGATTAATTGAGTTATTGTATGTAAAGTGCTTAAAACAGTGCCTAGTTACCTAATTGCTGAGTTAGCTTCTATTTTAAAAATTGTTATTCAAAAAAGATTATTTATGTGGTTTTTGTTACATTTCTTAGACTCTCCAAGGTATACTTTAAATTCTTGAGGTTAGTAGTACTTTGAAAAAGCTGGAGGTATACTATGGTAAGTAACAGGAAGAAAATATATAAGAGCACAAAATACTATTTGAATATTAAAATATTTTTTATACCTCTC